AGGAATGACTCTTTGCATTTTTAAGCTGGTGGTCGTTTCTTTTGTAGGCTGAGTTTATCACCCATCATCAGAAGGGCAGATGGAGCTACTCTTAGTATTAGCCTGTCAACTTAAATTGAGGAAGAAGCCCATCAGTTTGTACCTGGGAGGTGGGAGGGAGGGTTGCAAGCCTGGCTGATGATACCTGGGCTTCCCAATCCTGCAGAGGCTGCTTCCCAGAGAGAGCATAATAAAGGCTTGGGTTTGACTCCCAAAGTGAAATAGCCTGTGGCTATTCTGCTTCATGCACAGTTCAACATCCCCATTCTGTGTTGCTCATCCAGTGTGGTCTTGCTCGATTTTCCTCAATGGCAGGAAAAACAGGAGACGGGTAGGAGAAGCAGGAGGAGTGGTAGTAGTTGGCAGCCAGGCATTCCCTGTGGGGACATTCAGTTTTGCAATGAACCTCTTGGATTCCTGACAGGTCAGGTCTGTTGACCCTTCTGGGCACGCTATGGTGAATGTTTAGTTATTTACTAAAGCCTTTTGAAGGGAAAGTGGCTTGATGGGGTCTGAGGCTTTTGTATTACGGAGAGTTGTGTGAGAATCTTTGCTGGGGTTAGCTATTAGCTGATTGTTTAATTATTTGGCTCTGTAACTAAGTAACTAAATGCCTTGAGATAACCAGCTCTTTGTTAACGTTTTAATAAATGGAGACAAATAATAACTTAAAACCTAAGGAAGTATAAATCTCTTGTTTCAGTGACTGAATCTTGAACAGAAGCATGATTTGGAGTATAATTGCGTATCTCACAACAATCTGAAGTAGAGCATTCAGAATGTCCCCAGTCCTCTCTTGTGGTCATGGCTTTTATACAAATAGTATTTACTCCATTTGATGGCTGGATGGCATAAACCATGCTGTGAGACTGTATGAGTACGCATAGAGAAAGTTCACATCTGTTTGTTTAAAAGCAGCTTGGTTTCCCATGGTGGTATTGTTCAACAGCTCCACCTGTAAAGTTTAAACACATTCTGTGCACCACTATTACAAATAAGGATGTGGCCAGGAGAGGACAATAGCAGAAAGAATGTGCTCTCCTGTGTCCCCCAGTGTCTATGAACACCAGCAGAATTTTTGCACGTGTCTTTGTGGCTTGTTTGCTTTTTGAGGGGTGATAAATAGGTGCTATGCACGTCAGGTAATGCACCTTTGCAGTAGGAACTAATGCCACAATTATAGGATTTGCAGGAGAGCTTTCTTAGAAAGGAATTCATTCTTTAGCCTGGAGAAGAGAAGGCTCTGGGGAGACCTTAAAGCAGCTCCAGTGTCTAAAGGGGCTCCAAGAAACCTGGAGAGGGGCTTTGGACAAGGGCCTGTAGGGACAGGACAAGGGGAATGGCTTGAACCTGCCAGAGGGGAGACTGAGATGAGCTCTGAGGCAGAAGCTCTTCCCTGTGAGGGTGCTGAAGCGCTGGCAAAGGGTGCCCAGAGAAGCTGTGGCTGCCCCATCCCTGGCAGTGTTCAAGGCCAGGTTGGACACAGGGGCTTGGAGCAACCTGCTCTAGTGGAAGGTGTCCAGGATTCTATGAATCCCATGCTGCATTCCCACAGCTCAGCAGAGCTCTCCCAGGAAAGGGCTGATATACAGGCTTGTGGTGATGACTGAAGGATGCAGTTTCAAGGCGAGCTTTGGAGAGGGCTGGACGAGCATGGATTTGATACCAGATCACAAGCTTTGCTTGATGCTGAAGGCTCTGCAGGGCTATCTCCTCCTCCTTCTCCCATCTAGCTATTTTCACTAGAGGAAAACTCAGGGTGCTGCTGCTGAGAATACTGGAGGATGGATGCAAATGAGAGCTGAGCAAACTTGCAGACTTATTTCCCTGTTATGCTCAAAAGACATGGATGTGAGGAAATAATCCTGATGTCAGCCTCAGGGAGCCATTGATTTGATGGTACAGCTTGCACATGGGTTCAGAACTTGTCCCTGACTTTCAGAGCAGTGTAAAAACCCTTGTGCAGTGTCCTGGAATGAGAATTGACTTTGCACGTAGGTTGTTTATGTGGTGCTGGGAATGTTTTAACAGCTTAGACTGGTTGAGTTTTGCATCGAAGCTGATGGGTGGACTCATGCCTCCGAATCCCACCTGTTCTCTGTTTGCTTTTGGGCACCATTTCAAACCCACACTGGAAAGAGTTTATAGGCAAACATTATAAAAAGTGACAGTCTTAAGTGCTGCTACATTCTAGTTTGGCAACACAAAGGCTTACCTGAAATAACTCACTATTTCCAAACATGACTTCATTATTTCATGACAACGCTTTGCTGTGTCTTCCCTGATACTCTAGAGACAAAGAAACGGAGGAGGATAATATTTACCAAATGCTGATACCTGTTGGAAACTTGTTTTTCATCAGTGTACTAGTAATTTTCTGTGGAAAAGGCATTTTTTGCTTTGTAATTTTGAACTAAATTACTGCTCTTGGCTTTGGATTTGCATTTGTTTGAAAGACTCGGTGTACATTTGGGGATAGTAGTTTATAAAGAGGTGGAATCAAGGATGGGAGGTAGAAAATTACTTACCTTCTAATTGTACGTGAACAATCAGTCTTCCCAGGAGGATGCTGCAACTCATGTGAGCATCCTGTGAGTTTTCTGGCCTCTTTGGTAAAAGCCTCTAATGCACTTAAAGGAGTGTTGAGTTATGTTCACCCATGGTGGATTTTTACAAAGCTCAAAGACAGACATTTTCAGGCTCCAGTACATTGTTGGCACAGTGTAAACTCCGTTAAAGAAATTTGCTTTGCAGGTAGAGCGTTACAAAGAGCCTTAAAAACTTCAAAGTAAATTAGCTGCTTGGCTGCAGCTTCCTTCTTTCTTTCTTTTGTTTTAATTTGACAGAGGAATCTTAATTTAAAGTAAAATCTCAAGCAAACTCAACTATACTGTTACAAAATACATGTAGAAAGGAGCCCATGCTCCTTCTGGAAACTAGGTTCCTAACAGCATAGTGTAGTGCTCAGTGAAGCACCTGCATTGCAGATCTGTGGATTCGTGACTCTATCAGCAAGACTGAATTAGTTTGTAAGGAGTGTAAAGCTGCATTGGAGCTTGTTCTAGGCTTTGAGATGGAACTTTGCACGCTAGAAAGTTTAGAGACCTTGTTATAAAATCTAATCCAAGAATCTTTACGTTCTCCATAAATGGTCTTGTTTAAATGGTTTTATGTACTTCTTCTGGTCACCATCTCGGTGTGATGCATGTGTCAAATCTGTTCTTTAAAGAACCACGTTTGCCCTAGAGAAAAAAGCCAGGAGAAGCTACTTGCTTTGCAAGGGCACATCCCTGGATCTGTTCTCACTCAGGCAAACTCCCATAGAACTCCCTGAAATGACATAATTCCAGGATGAGTGGGAGAAGAAATCTGACACACTATTTTCACATGTGTCAGTATAAGCCAATATTTAAAAGCACGAATGTCCCATTGATGTGGCCACTTCTGGTACTTATAGAATCATGTACTATCTCAAGTTGGAATGGACCTATAAGGATCATTGAGTCCAACTCCTCTGCTCCTTGCAGGGCTACCTAAGACTAAACTCCTGACAGAGCTTCAGCATTTCCAGACTCACACCCACAGGCCTGCTCAGGTGTGACACTTGTTTTGGAGTTCTCTGTTGGAAGTGTAATACAAGAAATGACAATGCCATGCCCTAAGGACAAGGAACAAGGGTTTCAGGGTTTTAGTATTCCTGGAAGCAAGGGTGGGCATTGAGGAGTCACCTACTTTAATATTCTCTCCTAAACAAACAGAAAGGTGTGTGTATATTTATATATGCACACAGTGGTGCACAGTTGGTGCCTGCACGGGAATGATGTGTGCCGCGGAGCAGCTGTCTGTGTGATGTGACCCTCCTCAGGAGCAAACAGAAGATGGTTTCATGCTTCTTTCCTTTACTTAATGTTCCTTGGTGAGGCCCAAAGGCTTGTGGGAGAGGGATACTGTGGTTGTAGGGAGAAACCATTAGAACTGCAGCCCCTTTATCTGGAGCCATCCCTCTGTGGAGATGGTCCCAAGTGTCCGGAGCTGTGGTTCCCTCCCTCCTGCTGAGAGCCAGCCTTGGAAAAAGGGGTGGTGAAACTCTAGTAACTATAGACACATGTAGTTTTCCAAGGATGGTTTTGGCTTTTTTTTGGAAAAAGACTGTGGTTTGACATTCTTCTTGACATTTGGTTATAAAAGGGAACTGGTGGATGAGACGTTTTGTTTTGAACTTGTGTGTGCACTGTGATGTTGAAAGCTTTGCTTGTGTTCCTGGGTTTCTGCTGTATTCTGCTCAGGAGAGGCTGTGAAATAAGAAATGAAGCATAGGTTAAAAGAGAAAATTACTGTCACTGGGAGCAGAGCTGGTGGTGTAGAAGGCAAATGTAGAGGCTTTGGGAAGGGTGCAGGGATTAAAATAAAGGGTGCCATATGTGCCGTGTGTAGGAACTCATGTTTATTGGGTTAGTGAGGGGGGTTTTGGTCATTCTTTTCTCCCAACACAGCTCTTCTCAGATTGAAAAAGAAAGCAACAAACTTATAAAATCAGATGGGGAAAGGTTAAATATTAATCTGAATTACAGACCCAAATGCTAAGATATAAAACTGAATTTGCTTCTCGAACTCCTCCTGCCTCCTCCAAATTCCTCAAAGCCCTAAGTTCAGGAGCACTCATCTCGCTGCAGTCGCTTGCTGTGACCAGTGAGACGGGTTGTGCCTTTGCACGGCACTCGGGACAAGGCGCTGATCAAAAGGGGATGAGCTTTGCTCGTGGTTAACCTCTTGACAATGAAGCCTATTCCATACCTGCGCGTGGTCCAGTTTTACAAGGCAGATTGCTGGGCTAATCTGGATGAAACTTTTTTGTTTAACGTTAGTTGACTTCTGTGGATGAAAAGGGCCTTCACTGACTTGTGTTGGAAATTCTCTCCTTTCCTCTCTCTTCTTTTCCTCCCTTCCTCCCACCTTCGCAGAGCCGCCAACCAAATACCAAATCTCTCAGCCAGATGTATACTCAGCACTTCCAGGAGAGCCACTTGAGTTGCGCTGTCAATTGAGAGACGCCGTCATGATCAGTTGGACTAAGGATGGGGTCCCTCTGGGGCCCGACAATAGGACAGTGATTATTGGGGAGTACTTACAAATTAAGGATGCTACACCCAGAGATTCGGGCCTCTATGCTTGCACTGCTGTTAGGACCCTAGACAGTGATACTCTGTACTTCATTGTAAATGTTACAGGTGAGTGAGTTAAACATAGGTTTTTGCATGTAGATGCTGTAAAATGTGATATGAAGACACATTATGCTATAATGTGAAGCAGTCCACTCGGGCACAGCGGGTTGAGCTGGGTTCTCTAGTTATTTAGGTGTTTTCCTCCTTGTCCTTACCCTGAGATGGACTCTGTTTGTATATACGCCTTTTATTTTACAGGATCTATAGTGGGGGGAGGTTTAAGGTCCCTTCCAAACCAAACCATTCTATGATTAACTGCTCCTGAATAGCTCTCTGTTTTATGACACTATGAGAGGATTTAATTATACAGAGTTGTGGTCACGATAAAGCCAGTAGAATGTATACGAAGGTATTCAGAAGAGGAAAGGGGGTGTCCTACATCCTTTAAGTTTAAGGATAAATCATTCTGGAGACGCTCAGTTCTATTGAAATGAATGTCTTCAAGAAAAACAAAAATTGTAAGTGGAAAGAAATTTTTGGGGTTAACAAGCTCCCTGTAGAAACTTTTCAGCATTTCAGGATTATTAGGTAGTTTTGTCAGAATTTGATAAGAATAACACACGTTTTGTGGTTGGATTTTCTTTTTCTGTAGCTTCTGCACAATGTAACATCTGTTCTCTTGATAGATAATCTTAAGATGTAGCATATAGTTTTATTTGTCTGTAAAAAAATAGGCTGGTTTAAAGACTTGATTATTTTTAATGTGCAGATGCTCTTTCCTCTGGGGATGATGAAGATGACAATGATGGGTCCGAGGACTTTGTGAATGACAGCAACCAGATGAGTAAGTAACAGCCAACTTCCAGAAGTCACTAGCAAGATCCACAAGGAAAACAATGTTCCGTCTTTCGCACTCCTGCCTCCAGAGCTTCTTGATTGTTGATTGCATGGGCTGTCAAGTAGCGGTTTCTGTGTCCTTCTCCATTTTCTGTTTCACATAGTTCATATCTTGGAAAAGAAAAATAAAAATAAACTAATATTCTTCTAAACATGCTTTACTGGTCTGTACTTTCTTCCTCCTTTCTTGCTAGCGTTTCTGCATTTTCCTTTCTTCCTGAACTGAAGTTCAGTCTTTGTCTGGTTTAGACTCTCACAGATGAACTAACTTTCCCTGAACCTAAGCTGAAATGTAACAGAAGAACCAAAGATCCGGCTCACTTTGTTAAAAGGTGGTATGGAAACTTTAAAAATTAAGTTGTAATGAGGTAAATCCTTCAATCCTTAATCTCGTCAGAAATCTCCCCGGGGAGAATGAGTTTGGAGACAATGAGATTCTTTTGTCTGCAAAGGACCTCAAGGTTTGTTGCATAGAAAGCAATCCAGCACTAAACCCACATTTTGTGTTACTTATGTGTGATGAAAATGGGCTAAAAGAGTCTTAAACCTATCTGAATGTTAAACTTCAGTCCCTTTAGAGAATTTGGAAAGCTATTAATAGGCTCTAAATAGAACAGTTGTTAAGGAGGAAAAAAAAAGGTAAAATTCATATTGGTTCCTTATGCCCTTACGTGCTGCTGCAAAATCCCCTCGGTGACTGGTAGTTCGCTATCGCTTGTGCTTTGTAAAGTCAATAACACACAGAACACAGAAATCCTTCATGGGAGATGTCAGCTAGTTACCAAACACAGTAGCCAGGTAGTATGTTTGCTCGTCAGCCTGATTAGCAACTGGCAGCTATACCGTATGCTTGAAGTACAATAAAGTACGAGCCTGATTTGAGCTCCCCTAGTTAGTTACTGTTGTATACGACTGCCCCTGGTCTGAAGCTGTGAAACATTAGATGCTATTTAAAATGATATAAGTTGTTAGCTGCCTTTTTGGCCCCTGCCATCTGTTAGTGTGATTAACCCGGTCTGATTCACAGGTGCAGCTTGAAGTGGCTGAGATTAGGCAGCTGGAGGCTGCTCTGACAAAGGAATGTGGTGGCAAAGATAATTGGCGAGTTTGGGAAAGGGACACTGCTTTTAAAAGGAGTTGTCTAAGCAAAACCCACCAGCCCAGGCAATGTTAGTGTTCCCCTGAAAAGGACTTGTGGGTAGAAATTCCTTTTAGGACACATCCCTGTGTCTGTTACCACTTTAGAGGCTTTTTGGTGTTGGTCAGGAAAGGGCTTGCAGTGTGTTTGGTGTGTTAGTGAAGACAATTGTGCTTCCAATCTGTGCTGATGGCATTAGTGATTCATTGTGAGCACAAATGGCTTTAGGAAGAGACAAAAAAGAAAAAGACCTGATCTCAAGGCAGCTATGCTCTATAACATGGTTGTGCATCAGGGAGAACTACCCAGTGGTCATAGAGGTATAAAGTGGCTTAATTTGGAAGGGACATTAAAGCTCATCCAGTTCCAACCCCCTGCCATGGGCAGGGTCACCTTCCACTAGACCAGGCTGCTTCAAGCAACCTTGAACACTGCCAGGGATGGGGCAGCCACAGCTTCTCTGGGTAGTTTGTCCTGTGTAACACTAGTGATGGCCTTGTATTACGAGCTGTCATTGTAAGCTACTGTTGATCAATCTTGGTTCAGGAGCTGATGAAAGGCCACTGACGATTTCCATCTGCCAGGGATGGAGTGTGTGCTTCTGCAGGGGTCAGTCACACTTTCCCTGCTCAAAATGAAAGATGCCTTTAGAGCGTGAGCACACAAACATCTCTGGTGGCAGCGAGAGTGCAAACTCTTGCAGTGCAGAAGGGAGGAAACAGCAAGAAGACAGATTGCTCCTGAGCAGAGCATTGCACAAACAAATCCTCATGAGATTGCTCTTTACAAGCTGCCCACAAACTTCTGGGGCTTCTTGCAAGCTTGCAGATGGGTGCAGGGAGCAACGCAGCCTTCATCCTGATGTCTGGGAGCTCGATGGGAAGAGCTGGAAGTAAAAGAATGAGCGTGGCACCACATCCCTGCAAGTAGTCTGCTTTCAATGAAAAGTTGCATCATAGTAACTCGGTTGGATTAAAGCAGCATTGCTGAAAGAGGGTTGTGATTTGGCAAGATTGAAGCTGTATGAAAGTTAAGGGTGGGACTTGGTGTGGTGCTTTTGCAAACCACTGAGGCTTGTGCATCTAGCATCTTCTAAGCCTTCCCATCAGTGCTCCTCTTCTAGGCTTTATATTGCATCCAGAAGGCCACATCTCATTTAAGACACTGCATTGCAAGACAGATTGAAAAGCAAATAAGGAGTTCAGGGATAGCCAAAGGTCCACCATGAGCATGCCATGGGACAGGCAGTGTAATGCTCAAATGCCCCTTACCATCTTCTCCTGCCTACGTGAGGCAGAGCCCGCGGAAGTCCAGGACTTCATGAGAGCCCCTGGTTGCTGCTTCTTAAGAAAAGAAGACTTTGTTTCCTGAATCGTGGCTTGAGCTTTGCAGATCTAAACCGATTTCACTGATAATTTACATACAAATTACAGCTGCGATCATTACGGATAAGCAATGGAAATTGGCCTGGTTATGCCTTTACTGATGGAAACAAAAGGCCATAGTCTTCAAAGGTTGTTGCTTTTTGATGAAACAATTCTGATAAAGTCCAGCTGTCCTGGCATGTTAATTATGATGTGATGAGGCAGGAAATGGCTGTAGTGCCTTCCACAGGAAACTGAACCTTGGCATTCTCATTCCCGCATATTTAAAGCAAATCTTTTTAGAGCTGTTTCATTTATGATGGTAAGTATTCTTTTAGCCTTTTTTTCTTTGCCTTGATTACAGATATTTTTTTTCAGAGGCCAAGGTTTCCAGATCCAAGCAGAGAGGCTACTGAGGAAACCTAGTGTCATTTTCAAGGCTGCCCAGAAAATACAACTGCCCTTGAAGTCAGTGGCGGCTGTAAGTGGCTTGGTAGCTGTGAGGAGCAATTCGTCCGCGGGAGAGGAGGGCACTTGTGTGTACACATGTTCATTTGACCATTTGCCCTGTGTGTATTTATAAGCAAAAGGCATGCACAGCAGATTTCACTCTGCCTTTGGTGTCCTTTTAGCTTGACAGATATTTTAACTGTCTGAAAAAAGCACTGTGGTAGATTTGTTCCAGACTGCATCCTGAATAGCTTTTTATTACTTCCAGCTTTTGTTGAAGGGATTAGTGCTTGTGGGGAAGGTGCAGGATTGGCTCCACTGCAAAATACTCCTCTCTTTCCACAAAAAGAGGTTTGTTGGCAAGTCGGTTTTCCCCAATGTTGCCCTAAAGAGGTGCCTTAGCTTGATTTTGGAGAGCCACCTCCAAGGACCTTGATCTGGGACTTCTTTTTGCAAAGCTAAGGGCTGCTCATCGTCAGTTCCTACTGACAGCAGTGGAGGATAATATATTGTTGGTACTTGTTGCCTCATCCTCACCGTGATGTTAAAAGATAGCCCTAATTTAAGGGATTTCTATAATCTTGACTTGGTGCCGGCAAGGCAACAACTCATGATGTGGTCCACTGAGGTCCACCAACAGTAATTTATTGTGGAGACCCCTGGGTAGCCCTGGGGATGCTGTTATTCTGCCTTGAATTCTAGTCAGGCGACTGGAAGCTTTAGGACTTTTTTCCTTATCGCCCTTTAAACAGTTTCTTCTGGGCCAAGCAATGGTAAATTGGCACCAAGAACAAAAAGCATCTAAATGCAATCCACATGCTGTTCTTTTCATGCCTTGAAGACTTTCAGAAAGGATGAAACAAGGTTCAAATTCATCAAATCCTGTAGAGTGGAAACCCACTCAAGGGAGCAGCAAAAATAGGATGTTGCCTGGAAGTGTGTTTTAATTAAAGGTCAAATACAATTGGACTAAAAACCTTTAGTGGGGGTTAGTATGGTCATTTCAGGTGTGCTACTGCCTGGTTGAGGAGCTCATTGGGCAGGCTTGGAGCTTACTGCTTCAGTATTTCTTTGTATCAGATAAGTCCAAGTAAAAATTAAAGAGTCCTGAAGTGAAGCCGTCCCCTGGGCAGCCTAATTTCAATTTCACATGCAGGAGATTTGCCTGATTAGATATAATGTATTTGCAGTGAAGTGCAGTGTGGGTCAGCAGGATATTTTCTTCACTAATGAGAGCTCCAAAAGCAATCAGGAATTCCCACCCGTTCCCCTGCTGCTTGTTACTGCTACGGGCTGGATTCTGCCCTGTTGTAACCGTGAACTTTTAGCAGTGGTGCTACCTACTTCTACCTGTCCTGTTAGTAAAGCTGGGATGTGATGGGCATCGTCTGTGAGAGGAGCTGGTGCTATTATCTAATAGATCTATTAGTGATCTATTATCATTAACTATGTTCATTATTGATTTTAGTGATTCTGGATGCTTTTCCTCTCGGGACAAATAAAAGCAGTAAAAGGTGCCTTTAGGTTTTAATCTAGAAAGAGAAATGCTGTGTGTTAATCACTGTCTGAAAGCACAAAATGAGGGTGAGCATTATGGTTTGTGGATGTTGCTGCCTTCTCTTTTTCCTTAAAACATACTGAGGAGCTGCCAATATACGTCACTACAACCTAGTGAAAAATGGTAGGATGTCTTGAAGCATTTTCAACATGTGATGTCCGCATGTTTTTCTCCAAGCTCCCCTGTAATTCGGGAGCATTGTAGATTATGCTGAGGGTTGTGTGAGGGGAAGCTTTCCAAGCAGAGTCGTTTCAGCCCGGGGAGTTTCCTTTCCCCCTCTCTCCCTGGCACAGAACTGAGCTGTTTCTCTTTGTTCCTGACTGCATTCTCCTGGCCTCTTCCCTGCTCCCACCTCTTCCACAGAGCAAAGTTTTTTCTCCCTGTACATTTGTCATATACGAATCTTACCGGAGCACTTCTCTTCCAGGAGCAGGGTTTTTTAGAGCATGAGAGTTGATTGAAAAGGGGGTCGTATGCAAGGAAACCTGAGGATGAGTTGCACTATAATGCAGTAGAAACCTGGCTGCATGGAGCAGCCTGGTCTGGGGAGCTACTGATGGCTGGATCCTGACCAGCTCCAGTGCTGTGGTGGGAGCTTCTTCAGAGCTTGGTCCATCCAGCCTGTGCTCTGCAGGGCAGCATCGCTACGGGTGAGCTGTGGAGCTTGTGCTTTGGAGGTTATGCTTGACACTGACTGCACCCAGGCTTTTCATGCTCTATACATGTTAAAGGGTGTGTGTGAGGGACGTGATGAGAAGTGACCATGCTGGCTGAGACACTGCTGGGTCAGCATTATCTGTTTGGGGTGAAATCTGGGCACTCTGCTCTGCCTGACATACCAATACAACTGGTTTGGGTGGTTGATTAGCTTTGACCTGGCACAGTTTACTTTGGCTTTGTGGGAGCTGTGGGTAGGGCACTGTAGTGGTCACCTTGCATTGCGTTGTGCAAGAGTTTTAGCAGTCCAGAGAAAATAATCCTTTTAATATATCAGTACCAACATGTAATTCTGCCTTTTCCTGGTATACTTGTAATGTGATTTCGTCTTCGCGTGTGGTAGTTAATTCCTTTGGTTGGCTTTGTTTAAAGTCTTCTGTTGTTTTAATGTGATCCTGGTTTTAGCAAATAATATTAACAGTGATTTTCCTTGCATCCCTAATTCACTTCAGTCTGTGTAACAACTTCTTAGTGTTGCAGCTAAGTTTTCAATAGTTACGTGATTTTCTACTTTGATTACATGCACAAATTTGCTTTGCTTTTCTACTTCATTAATTTTAACACTAATTGCCACTTCAGGGGGGAAAAAAGCCCAACCCACTTATCGTTCTTAGCATCATTATAAGACTTACTTTTAGAATGTTTTCTTTATCCTCAGAGAGACGTTGTTAAAGGATTTATTCCTGTATTTTCTATCCAGCTGTATTTTTATTTAGAGAGGGGGGTAGGAGGATTTCTGAGTTTGCACTGATTGTAAGTACTGCTATAAATATTTGAGGAACGGAAGAGTTTATTTATAGTGGAGTGTTAGGCTGCTAATGAAGGAAATGAAACGGGGCTGAGAGAAATAGAGTTATTTTTCTGGACCCCTCTAGTTCTAAAAATTCTGCACTAATCTGATTTGCTTCAGGAAAACTCCATTGTAAAAGAAGTTAATGTTTCCTACTATTAAATAGATCCTGAATCTTTAACTTTAAAAAAAAAAACCTTTTATGGTAAGACAACTGTAGTGATGCAATGAAGACTCTGTGCAATGTAGCCAAAGTGGTGCATGGATCTAGAGCATGGGGTAACCTTGCATAGGGATGTATCTATCCAAATTTACTTCTCAGGGGGTTAAACCAGATGGGTAGTTGTATGGTTTGTTCTTCTGTGTTTCCTGTGCTGGTGTGGGGCAAATGATTGAGAACTTGGTTGAGAGGGGGTGTTCCATGTGCTCCTTATGCTCCTCATGTGGGCACAGGCAGGGCCAGGGCACGGAAAGGAGGGAGCGAGTGAGCCAGGAGAGCCTTGACTGGAGTTGGTAAAAGAGATCACTTCAGTAAATATGGGCTGAGGGAGGTACTCATTTTATGCCATGGTGTTGGTCATGTTCAATCCAGGCTTCGACAGGTTTGTGAGAGCGGGAAATCCCAGCAAAATGATAAGTGCTATTACTGAGTTCTTCCTCCTTGGTTAAGATTTCAGAAATATATTAAATTTGTAAGTATATTTTAGTGCTTTCTGTGACAGTAACAACACAGTTCACCTTCCCCTTGTACAATGTAAGTTTTTGCATGCTGCCAGGCAGGTAGCTATGTTTATTCTCCTTCTAACACATGGAGAGAGGCTAAGGCTGATGCTTCCAACAGGTCTTCTGACTTGGTCTGTCTGGCTTCACAGCAGAGGTCAAAGAATTCAGAGTTTGCTGGGCACTCACAGTACCTCAACTTGGGGTCAAAAGTGTCTCATCATTTGAGTCTGCTGAAAACTGGGTCCCTCTGTCTCACTTGACACACACAAACCAAAAGATATCTGTGGTTAATTATCGGAATATTGTCATAAATGGTATACTCAAAGCTGCAAACTGAGCCATTTGCAAGACTCTGGTCAACACTTGCTGCATACGATTTCCAGTCGTGTACTCAAACCACACTCAAAATGAATATGTGCAGTGCTTTATGTCTATGGAAGGGGCTGGAAAGGGAGCTCAGTTTCCGAGTACTGATGTTTCTGGGTGTATTTCCTTGTAACAGGGGCACCCTATTGGACACATACGGACAAAATGGAGAAAAGGCTTCACGCGGTGCCAGCGGCCAACACCGTCAAGTTTCGCTGCCCGGCGATGGGAAACCCAACACCGACCATGCGATGGCTGAAAAATGGTAAAGAGTTTAAACAAGAGCATCGTATTGGTGGATATAAGGTAAGAACTCACAATGTGACTTTTGCAGTTTCTCTTCTTGACCAAGGTTGTGGAAAAAAAAACCCCAAAACAAAAACCCAACTTCAAGTCAACAGAAAACTTGGATCGAATGTAGAAGGAAAAAAAAAGAGTAATTGTTTTCTTCTGGGGATGGGTGGGTGGTTTCTTTGGCAGTTACTGAGCATTAATTCTCTCTCTATATATAACTTTTTGTTAAATTCAGGCTTCTGGCATAGCAGTGCAGCTAAGAATTATATAGAGAGACTTACTTGGAAAGCGAAAGACTGACTTTGCAAAGTGGAGTAAGACTATTTTGCTCTATTCATTTTTGACTGCATTGTTAAAAATGTGACTGTCCACACTGGTGATTAAAGGCAGTTTAATAAAGGAAGGGTTATAAGTCAAAAGTTATTATTTTCTATAGAGTTTATGGTCTGTGAAACTGAAATGGGAAGCAGAATTTGAGGGGAAAGTAACAGCAATTACTTACAAGGGTTTGTTTGAATGTTAAGCAGCTTAGATTAGATGTTGCATTCTCAATTGGTAGTTACTGATTAAGAGAGAGGTTTAGGGAGGCCATCTAGCTCTGTGGGTTAGTGCATGGACCTTTAACCTCCCCGTATCTGCCTAGGTCAGGTCAGAAGTCAGGCTTCGGTCATCTTATCCCACTCCTCACAGGGAATGGGAGTGTGTGACTTTGATGGCAAATTGCTGTTCAAGCAGTACCCTTGCCATCCTGCCCCACATTTCTGGGGTACCTTACCCTCTTCTGTAGACCTTCTGCCAGTGGCTTCTTCACAAACCCAACACCTCAGCAAGTGCTCTCCCACGATGAGAAGTTCTGAGTGAGTCGCTTTGTGTCGTGCTGCAAGCCCCAGCCTGGAACTTGCTCAGAGCAATTTCTAATGCTAATTAAGACAGAAGTTAACTGACATTTCCAGACAACACAGTAAGCTTAAGACCAAGTCGTGGGGTACCTCACTGCTGCCTTACCCCAGTAACTGCGGTATTTTTGGGGTGCCACGTTTTGCAATGCCCTGAAGGAGCCAGGGTGTATATTTCTTTGCGTGCTGCTGACGCGGATCCTGCCCGGTACAAAACCCCCTAAGTTTTCCAGTGCAGAGGAGGACAAGCCGTAGTCTCCTTTCCTCTCTAGCTGGATTTACTGTAGAAAGTGTCAATTTTTCCAACGTTTGTGTTAGCACAGAGCGAAGCCCAGAAAATCTCCCTGCATGAACGCTAATTATCTAAGTAGACTTTTCCATCTCTGTTTGCTTACACCATAAATTACTGTTGCTTCTGAGCGTACACCTGGCAACACCTTCTGCCTTTCATAATGCTGCGGAGTGTTAACGAATTGGCCACAATTCAGTGATTTTCACCTTTCTCAGTGCTTTTTTAAAACCAAAAAGAAAGCAATTAAAAAACAACCCAAACACCAAACCCAAACTAATCCTGTCTTGGAAAATAACAGTGACTGGTTTGGTACTAACTGGGACATTATTTAAACACTTTACATCTCATGAAGGGGAAACAGAGATATCACTCTTGAAAACCGTGCAGAAAATGTGTGTCTTGCAAGGCAAGGATGGAGATACCTGATCTCTGGTCTGGGAGGGTGATCTTTCATGGGGTAAATCAGCCCGTGTGGGGCTCTGTGCTGCCACTGCTAGCTCGTGTTAGGATTCTGTGTGAGCTCATTTAGACCTGTGCCCATTAAGTGCCACAAGTTAAATTTTTGCTCATGTGTGTTAAATATATACAATTTCCTAGGTATGTCTGTACCCTGGGAAGAAACCACAGATGCCTATTTCTAAAGCCAGCTGGATCAGTGAAGTATATACCTATAATTTTCAATCATAACTTCTTACCTCTCTTTAGTCTGAAGGAAATAAAGTGGGGACACAGCTGTGGATTTTAGACTTTCTTGATGCTCAGAAATACATCAAATGTTAAATGATCTGGTAGCATTTACTTAGAGAATCATAGAATCAAGTAGGAGCCTGTGTCCGCTTCTTGTAGAAGGGCAGGTTGAGGTCACTGAGCTTATTCAAAATTATTATGGAATAAAGAGAGAATTGTATTTTCTTGACGTGTCTTTACTGACAAACTTGTAATGAAGGAATCCTCAGAAAGGACTGGTCTGTGTTCAGCCAGATATCACAGCAACTCAAGATAATTCTGGTATGATAGCTTGTCTTGAATCTGGGCATTGCTGTACATAAAGCGTTTCTTCTGGAAATCTCCATAGCACTTTGAGCTACGGACGTAACACCACCTGTCCTTTTCGGAAGAGGCAATCGCCCCTTGAAGACTTTAAGAACAAACTTAAAGGAAGGAAAACATAAAGATTTCCAGTAATCCTGCAGCCACCTCTCTCCTTCTGCCTTGAGCTAAGAAATCTCTTCTTTGTATGCACTTTATCGCAATCAGATAGTGGCCTGTAACACTTTGTCCTTCTGACTGGGGAATGTCTTGAGTCAATTTGCACTCAGTCAGGCTAGGAAGAGGGTGTATGTGTTAGCCAAGATAGCGTCCAGAGTGAAATTCCTCCACCGTGACTAATTCTGGGTGGTGAATTTCAAATTTGAACCTTCTATAATTTTTCAAGGTATACACAAAATTCTGATAGCAAAGGGAAAAGTAACATTTATTGACTGTCTAAATCCGTTATAGTCTGGTTTTTTGTCTGTTTCTAAAGTGATGATAGCTCTTGCTTGTGCAGTTAGAGGCATAATTTCTTTGAATGAATAATCTACATCCTCTGTGAGAGACCACAGGAGCCTCTACTTTTGTGTACACCACCCGGAAAGCAAATGTACTTCTATCAGTTGATACTGGTTAAGCATTAAGAGGTGTGTGTTTTCACGTATGCATTTTGATAAGCTTCATCACTACAGTTGTCTTAAACACATTTAGATTCAGACAGGTAAACACGGAGTAAAGAAAGAGTTCTGACTCTAGAGGAACTGAAGAAGCCTATGGCTTTTGCATGGGTGTTCTGCATGTGTTCTCTCTACCTGAGCTGATTTTGGGGGGAATCATATTTTTATAGAATCCCAGAATGTTTTGGATTGGAAGGGACCTTAAAGCTCATCCAGCTCCAACCCCTGCCACAGGCAGTGACACCTTCCACTAGAGCAGGTTGCTCCAAGCCCCTGTGTCCAACCTGGCCTTGAACACTGCCAGGGATGGGGCAGCCACAGCTTCTCTGGGCACCCTGTGCCAGCGCCTCAGCACCCTCACAGGTAATAATTCCCCTAAGTCAAGAAAAAGCAAAGGCAAATAGAAAGGGATACCCTAAAGACCAGGTAACGGAGTGGATTCTTCAGGATTTTGAAAAGAACTCAATATAAGTTAAGGTTTCTGGGAATAGCATAGTAGAAATATAGCTGGCAGCAAGGAGGTAGTCAGGTTGGAGAACTGGAAAGGTTTCCTACAACTGATAAATGTGTCTATGGACACATCCTTTTCTGGACCTTGTAGGCCTGGTGAGGATGCTCCCACTTTCAGCAGCTTGTTGCTGCCCTTGTGTTTTTTTCAGTAATGGATTAGCACATACAAGCTCCCTTACATATTCTGTCTGCCAGATGAGCTCAAGTCATACATTTTAACAGCTTAAATGGACCTAGTTGGTATTATCCATGGAAACTTATTAAGGAATATTTGGAGAGCTGTAACACTGGTGTCTTCAGTTAGAAGGGCCCTAGTGTGCAACCAGGAGGGAGCTAATGGCTTTAACCTACATTACCAAAGAGACCATCTATTTGCAGCTTCAGTCATAAGAGTGAGGTTGGTTTTGTTTGGTTTGTTGGTTCTTTTTCCCCAAAAAATGAATATCAGTGGTGTAGTTCATCCATAGACAAAAGGCTGCTGTAGGACCTGTGTACTGTGGAAGCAGTGTTTTGAACCTCTTTTGAAACTAACTTTTACATATACTGCTGTGTCATTGTTCAGTCTTGGACTTGGTGGTCTTAAAGGTCTTTTCCAGCCTAATTGATTCTATGAGTCCATGATTTTGGTGCTGGTTGTCTGTAATGGCTCTAGTTTTGCTCCCCAAAGACATGCTTTGTTGGGACCAGGGAGTGACAGAATGTTACATTAAAAAAACATGTTAATAAAGGTTGTATGATCAAGGTGCTGGTTGGAATGTGGCAGGACCGTTGCGTATCTGAGAATGAAAGGTTGATTTTGGAGTCTCAGTGGGAGGAGATGCCGTCATTCCCATCAAAGGGGAGTTTTTCTGAGCGTTGCAATGCTGCACTTGCAACCAGAAAGCACTAAGCCAACAAGCTGGATCTAGTTGAATCCAGATCCATGTCATAAATCCAGTTGTGTGACAATGTGTCTTATATGCTTTGGGCCTCTACAGCAGTTGTTTAGCTTAAACTGAAGAGTCTCAAGCTGTTGTTTTACGATAAAGATACTATCTCCTCTTATTGGAGTTACAAGAAGGGAAATTGCACAAATACTTTTTAATATTGCCATCCAGTGTATCCATTTGTGGGTGTAAGTTAGTTATGTTTTCTTATTGGATGCTAAACAATTTCTTGTGTTTTCCTATCAAATTAATTACTTACAGCCTGTTAGGAATTTTTATGTTGTTTTAACTTTCATGCAGCCGTGGTCTGTTCTTCCTGTTTTGCGGTCAGATTGGTTAAAAACCCTTGCTCTGATTCCGGGAAGCGTGATGTAACTTGTAGTGCAAAAAGTTCAGGTCACTTTGACCAAATCTCCATCAAAATAGCTTGCAAGGAAGTAAAATATTCAAAATATGTAGCTGTTGTGTTTGTTATTTACCAGCGGTTTATGACAGTAATTCTTCCTGACAGAGACTTTGATTTTCAAGGTTTCATAACAGAATAACAACACAGTAACACTGAAACTCTTTCTAGCTTTATCAAATCACTTTGTAGCTCTTGATAGTGTGGAAAAAAAATATCAATATGCCATAACTGGACAATAATAATATCATCTACCTGATCAGCTAATTACTACCTGGGGGCACTAGGAAATCCCGGAGCCCCTTACAGAGAGGACTCTTCCAAGCTTTGAACTGAAGGCATTCTTACCTCCAGCAAGTGTGAGGGCTAAGCTCTTGGCAGTGGGGATAGGGCCCTGTGCAGCCATTTCCTGCTGGCTAAAGGACCTTCACAATAGTCAGGCATGAAGCAGGATTTCAGACCTATGGTTGTAATGATGTTTTAAGAACATATAGTTACTGGAAGTGCTGCTGGTCCATAAATTTTTTTGGTGTACTGTGCTGAATTGCATTGCTACTTTCCATTTGGCTGATTAAAATGACTGTACCAGATTGGATTTTATTCCATTTGCTAAACTAAAGTACTTTGCAATTTCAAAGTTGTGTGTTACAGCTACATGATGTTAGGATTTTTGAGTGTTTTGTCAAAAATGTAATGCTAAAAAAGGGATTAGTGGATAGCCAGCAAAAGGTCATTTTGGGAGCCAACTTATGATGCAGGAAATATATGTGTACCGGATGACTCTATATCCTTCCAGTATTGGGCTGGATCCTATTTTCTGCAAGACCAATGCCAATGCTCCTGTTGAGTTCAAATGGGAACAGAATCAGCATCTTTCATACATGCTGTCCGAAAGAATTGTATGCAATAAATGTATATCCTTATGCTCTGTTTCCATGAGGATTTTCTTCAGGCATTTTTCAGAAGGCAGCATCTTAATTTCTTTTGCTGCCCTGGGGTACCACAAGAGAGCTGTTGCCACTTCCGTGTCTGTGGGAGGGATCCCAAACATTGTCTTTCTGGTACTTTGTTTCTCCAAAACCCAGGCTGTGTAATTGAGCTACTAGAAAGACAGAGATTTGATGTTAGGGGATAATATCCATCCTGTATTGCTGGTGGGTAGTTAATATTATCAGATGATTGTTTGGAGACAGATGGGAAATGTCCTGAGGGTATGAATTCGCTTTAGAGTGGATTGAGAGGTAAAGCCTGGTAAGATGACTGCTGCTAATTGGTGCCATCCTCATAAGCCTGTTAGGACTGAATGTGCACTGAGGTCTGCAGTGCTCAGATCAGGGACAAGGTAAATTTATAGCAGAATGTGTGAAAGCTTTCACAGCTGCAGCTGTGCTGTACCAGATCAGGCATAGCTAAAGTATTTCAGTGTCCAGAACAGTCAAACGAGCACAGAATAGCTTCTTAACCGTGGATTACAAAAGCTAAATTATTCAGGAAGCAGTTCTTTTGGAGGAGGAGAGGGTGAAACTATACTAGTGAAGTTCTCAGCCTCTCTGGTTACAACCCACCAGGTCCGCAACCAGCACTGGAGCCTCATCATGGAAAGCGTGGTCCCATCTGACAAGGGAAATTATACGTGCATAGTGGAAAACCAGTACGGATCCATCAACCACACGTACCATCTCGACGTTGTTGGTAAGTAAAGCTCTGTGGCGTGTAAGACAATGTTTTTAGTTAATGAGTTTCTCTGCTAAAACATTTAGAACTAAGCTGATGTGTTTTGAATTAATTTTGAAGATGATTTCAGAGCAGTCTGAAGATAAGATTTCACTGCATAACCAATTGCTACCTAACTATATGTTCATCTGTCTCACTCATGTCTGTAGGACTAATCTACTTGTACGTTGCAAAAGTGTAACATCCATGTGTACAAGTGAATCCTTGTTGCTGTGATCCATCTACAAGCTTACCATGATGGCCAAATAATAAATACTGATGCAATTTTAATCATTAGTATTACAATTTAATTATTACTTGTACAATGGTCCTAACACAGATTTTAATAACTGCAGTTCAGAAAACTGTGGAGGGATCCTTTAGATTGGTGCTGTTAGAGCTGAAATGAGCACTTTTTTACAATGAGAAGCTAGATACTGACTTTGGTGAAGCTAGTGCTGATCTGGAGCTTTAGGAAAGGTGCTTTGCACTCACAGCAGTATAACAGAGATCTGACCATAGCCTGTTGTGTCTGGGCTCTGAGCAGTTCCTGAAACACGGATGACAAAAGTAGTGAAGAAGTGTTTTACCTGAGGACAAATCGTAAACAAGTGTATGAATTCTTAGTAGTAACAAAGCTGTGATTCAGCAGGAGTATTAAGCACATGCTTAATAATGTTAACTTACTAATACCAAAATCCCGTTGCACTTTAATAAGGCTTATGCATATTTATTTAAGCGCTCAGTTAAATTAGGGCTTGAAATCTCAGGATCCAGTTCTATTCTATTTACCCCTACTCCTGCTGATTAGCCTGGATGGGTGTGAGCAGTTTTATTGACTCTGAAGGCATCTCTGTCCAAAAGTAATCAGTTTGTGTGTTACAGTAGGACCTCCTGGTAGTACTTTTGGGGATCTGAGCTGCCATTTCTGATGTCTCAAAAAGGCTATGCTCTTTCCAGGCTTGTTCAGATGATCTGAGCATCACAAGCTCTGCGAATACTAATTTTGATCAATCAGTATTGAAAGCGAAATGAATTTGATTATTGTAAGCCCTTTTTAGCTGGTGACTGACAGCCCAACTTATCTTTTATGGAGAATCTTACTGTGAATTCAGGTTTATATGACCAAAACAGTGACAACACTTTCACTTCCCTATTTCTTGATCGTTTTGTACACGAATTAATATGCAGTCCCCACATTGTTTTGGATAGTCTTTAAAAGCAGAGTCTTATTTTGTCTGAGACCACTCAAATCTGCAGAAACCCCCAAATCCAAAGTAAAGCAGATGCCAGCTTCTCAGGCAGCAAGAAATGAAAAAATTCCTCGTGGAAATATCAGTGAGAGCTCATCATCGTGGAGCAGAGGAGGAAAAAGATAACTTTGTGGTGCTGTCAGACTGAAGCCCTATCACCAGCCCACAAACATTTAAGTCTTCAAAGCCAGTCTGTGAACCTCCCACTTGGTTTTAGGTAGTCAACACTGACAGCAGTGAGGATTTGGAAACATTTTGGTCATCAGTAGTGAGCTATGGGTATTGTTGAGGTGAACCAAGCAAAGCCATTTTTGTTTGAACACTTGTTCAAACAAAGTTTATGGAGGGTGCAGCAGCAACGGCTGTCGGAGATGGTAGTAAATTGTGTTCTGCTGCCTCAGTCCTCTGCTGACCACTTTGCTGGAGGAAATGGGCTGCTCACATGAGCTTGTCAGGGATGAATCTTGAGTTAAAGGCTGGCCCAGAAAATACATGAGAGGATGATAAGTCATGGCATTTTTTGAGTTGTTTTGGGTTTGATTTTTCTTAATCCTTTAGGAAATGTAGATCGACTAAAGTTGCTCAAAACTCTTTTTTTAATAGAGTTTTAATACATAGAAGGTAAACAGCACTTTTGGATTATTGGGAGTTTTCCTTGCTGAAATGGAACTGGTTAAAAATTCCCCTTCCCTCCTCTGTCCCCTGCTCCTTTTCCTTATTACTGCCGCAGCCCCAAACTGGCATGTTTCACATTGACCATAAATCTCTTCACCCTTTTTTTTCTAGCAAATGTGTTCCTGGATGATGTGGTCACTTGAGCAAATATTTGTCAGAAGCCCTCTCACCTCCTCTCCCCCTTTGAGCCTTTTGAATGTCTTACATTGAGGAATATTATGCAGAAGTTTATTTTTCCTGGCAGTAAATTATAGGGACCTGCATGAATGAATGGAATGGTAATAAGGATTATGTCATTTATTTAAATGTCTATTCCTTTCCTATAGAGAGGCAGAAAAGTAAATAATGAGGTTTTTCAAAACTGACTAGTGATTTGGGGTGCTGGTACCAGGCTGATGGCACCCAAAGGAGCCTTGATTTTTCCTGGGGGAATAATCAGCATTTTGTGATGCTGAGGCCCTGTGAGATATGAAACCAGAAGTCCAAAAGTGATTTTTGCAAGTCATGACCTGCATTTTGGAGTTCTGTGTAATCATTTTACTTGCTTTTTGCATTTAATTTCATGAGTTCAAGAGTGTAAACTGAAATATCTGTGCTCAATTTACTGTGAGTCTCTTGAGCCATACTGCGCTGGGACTTTAAGCTGAAAGGGGAATTGATGCTAGAGAGCTCAGCCATTGCTGTGTGGCTGAAAGCTTGTAATAATCATGGAGGTTGGGCATAAAACTGCTGAAGCAGTAAATTAAGGCTGGCCAGAAGGGGAAACTCTGACAGTCTTTCTAGTTAAGACAGTCCTACAGAAATTTATTTTGTCTTTTTTTCTGTTTTCATATATATTTTCAGTTCCCACAGGGTTGAGGAGAGTTATGGATGTTTGTTTAGAGGCAATTGCGTATGTAGACTGCATCTTACAAGCTTCAGGTCGTAATTTTAGGGCCAGTTCTGTGTGGAAAACTGTCAGTTGAAAACCTCTGAAATTGCTTTTCCTATATGGTTTAACTGGTTCCAGAGCTGATTAAGTGTAAGTAATAGCAAATGGTATTAAATATGGCAACGTATTACACTAACATGAGCATCTGAATATATGCTGTAATGTAAAGAACCCTCTGATTATGTCACAGATTTGGGAGGTATCCCAGCAAAAAGCGTGCCAAATAATGACACAATGCTGGTTAGGAATATGCCAATAACTTTCCAAACCTTGAACTCTTCTGACAATTAAAAACCTGGAGCCAGCAGGGCTGAGTAGTTTTCAGTCAGAACGTAGGTGTGAAGTATTCTCGTTTTTACCTTGTAATTACTTGCAAGAACCCTCTTAAAATAGTCAACTCAGCTCAAATGGTCTCACTCAAATTTACAAACCTGGCAACACCATTGAGCTGAGATTTTTACAATGGGAGTAGAAAATACTGAAGAAAAAGCAGCAAGTTGTTGGCAACCTCTCTACTGCACAGGATGCTCGTGCACATTGACAGTGTTAGCGGGGAATTGTCCATTCGAGTTGGCCAGGATATTCTGTGTTGGACAAAGTTATTCTTTACATGTTTGGGATACCCCAGTCCCCTGCCTTTTCCTCTCTCCTCCTCCATTTCAAAACAGGGACTTCAGCAGGCTATGACTGCAGGACTTTGCCCAGGGATACAAATAGGTTGGATTGCAGTAGTGGCAAATGGCGGCAATACAGAGCTTTGTTAGGATGCTGTGTAAGGGAGATGAGTTGATTTTAGCTTTTTACTGGAGTACTACCCAAAGGCTTCAATTAATATCAAATGCTTATTGTCCAAGGCAATGTGCCAATGCACAGTAATTGCTTAAAACTGAAATGTGGAGAGGCTGGGAGAAGGAAATGTCACTGTCCATTTTATAGATGAAAAACTGAGCCGTGGAGTGATAAAAGTTCTTGCCCTGGGTCACACAGGAAGCTGGTGGCAGAGCCAAAAAGTAAAGCTGGTACTTGAATCCTAATCCAGGACCTTAATTAAAAGAATGTTCTTTCCCTTGTACAGTTTAGCCCATCAGCTGAAGTGCCTTTCTTTTCTTTTGTGTTTAACAGTAGGTAGAAACTCGCATTTTTATAGTAAGCTTACTAATCAACTAACTCCTTTCTCATTAAACATATATAAAGTCATGCAGTCTTAAGGGAGAATGAATGAAAACGATGTGGTTTTCACTTACCAGTTGTATTGTAGTGAATCCAGGTTGTAGGAAGCAACGTGGGAATGCAGCCACTGAGACTTGTATATAATTAGATCACTCTTGGATTGCAATTATCGCTGGAGTACAATTTCAGCAGCGGCAGTTCTGTTTAAGCATGGAAGTAACTAATTGAATTTATATTTTAACAGAATAAAAAGAAAAGGTTAGCCTTTGAAAAGCCCTAGTGCACGTAGCCATTTCTGTCCTATTTAACATCATCATCCAGGGAAACAAGAGATGGTTTGGTTTTAGATGAAGTTTGGCACTACCCCGTTTACTGGGTTTTCTAAGCAGCTGCTATAGCACAACACCTCTTCCAAGAATGTATAAGAAGGGCCTGCTGTTTACTATAAAAATGAACAAAACTTATCACAACTATATTTGTTATTAAAAAGGTCCTTTTGCAGCCAGTTTAGCTGTACTTTGACCACTTTCTAATTTGCCTAATAGCACTGCCTTTGGCTCTGGTTACTGAGGAGTGAACTCCAGAGGTGGCCACACAGTTGTCCCTTACCAGTAATTCATATTTTCATATGAAAACAGTGTGAGAATAACATCTCATCCAGGGAGCATTTTAAATGACTCCCAGTTTAAAGCTTGAGCCCCAGAAATCTCATGTATGAGTGGTTTTACTGACGGGCGTACAGAAAAATGCTTTTATTCTGAACTCCTGGAGGTTTTAGAGGGCTAGGGGATGAATTTTACTCTGTCTTTTTACAGCACGTTGTTAAAAAGATCTGATTAAAATGGAATCAACTTTTTTTGCTATTGGTACTTCGCTGTTTATACGTCCCTTAGTTTAGGCAGAAGAAAGAACTTTGCCTTTGTTTCTAGTCAGTTTTATTTTTGGATTCT